CGCTCCTCCCGCCCGGCTCCCAGCCCTCCGCGAGCCCCTCACCCGCCCCGGCGCTCCCAGGCGCCCCCTGAGCCCCCTCCTCAAAGCCCCACCGTCCTCTGGAGTTTCCCCTTCTGCCCTTTGCTCCTCCCTCCCCACCCCGTTGGTACCTTTTTTCCTACTATGTCACGTAAAATGAATAGAAGAGATCTGTCTTTGTACTGATCGCGTCTCTATTCACTTCACGAATAATAAATACGGTTATTGTTCTCATAACTTCATGTTAGCCTTGACATGAGGTTTTTCATCCATTGTGCCTCCTTTCCCCAGAGGAAAAAATCCAACTTATTTCATAGAGCAGAACTCTTCTATTCACTTAAGTGTGGGCACTGTTAAACACAGTAGCATAGATTATTCCCATTGCTTGATTTTTTTTCCATAATTTGCTTTTATGTCCATTGCCCTTTATATTTTTTTATCCCCAAATACAATTAAGACAAAGTAATCTGTGAGAGAGGGGAGTCAGTAGATTCTAGTGCAAGCCCTCATTACAGAAACATCATTTGAAAGAAAAGTCATTTGTTCAGAGGCAGTTTGTGTTGCTTTTTCTGAATTTTGAGCCAGTCAGACTGATGGGCTGCTTTGCAGCTTGCCTCTGCTGAGGTTTCTACACTTTCTGTTCAACCTTATTTATTTGTAGTAGACACCAGAAAAATCTGCTGGTAGTCTCATAATTCTAAATTGCTTTACACTAATGCATTTTTGGTAGGAAAAGCAATACTGTGTGCTGCAAATTTTATTTCAGCTGATGAGTAAGTGTTGAATGGTCTTTGTTCATTGTTAACTTTACTATATCTGTGTCCAACAAGCTAGGTATTAAATTGCATTTGCAGAGCAGAAAATGTCAATAGTAATGTGTATTGTACGTGTTTAATTTGGCACTGCATTTAGTTCTTGTTAACATGGGTTTTTGCCAATATCAGTATCACTTTAGATCCTTAGTTGTTTTTTTTTAAAATATCACCTAGAAATTTAGTGATAGTTTAAATTTGCATATAGACTGCTGAGCAGTGAAACTGTACTTTTACTCAACAGTGAGTGCAGTAACATTTAGTTAGTGTTCATTAACATTGATTGAAGCTATGATGAAGGAGGATGCTCATTCAAATGTAATGAAAGCTAACAGTGATTGGAAGTTGTCGCTCTCGTGAGTGAATGAAGTTAGTCCTGGGCTCAGTCTTGATCCTGGTGGGCAGTTCAGTGCTCTGTGGTTACTACAAGCGCACTGGTTTAGCAGGATGTGTACAGATGGCAGTATGAGCTGTTTGCCTTTCATGTTTCCGAGGTGCCTGTCGCTGTCAGAGTTGCAGCTGATGACCTTTTCCTTTGGGTGCCATCCCCAGAGCAGAGCTGCTGCACACCAGCAGGGCAGTGTTACAAATTCTAGCTCGCAGTACTTGGGCTTACCTTGGTTCACTCTCCAGGCTCCTCCTGAAGAAATCCTTCACTGAGAGCTCTCTGATGAAAATTGCGTTCTGCCCTGTTCTCATGTGGACAGTCAACCACTGCTTAAACTCAGACAATCAAAGTAGCGCTCTTAACAGTATAGTCCTCTTTCAAAAGCTTGGTGTAGGATAAGAAATCATTAGTTGAAGCCGGCTACTTTGTTAAACCACAAGTATTTTGTCCTTGTTTTAGATTTAGTATGCTTGCTTTATTAATCCTTCAGTGAAATACCCTATTGCTCACACATGCCTTCTTCAAAACAAAGACTGATGAATAGGGAAGGTGCAGACAGGTTGCATTTTTTCAGATGCACGTAGGATTAATGTTACCTGAAACTAGAGCATAATCAAAGTGTGTACATAAGTTGGCATATACTGCATTTGCTTTTGCTTTTTGTCTTTTGCTGTCTGTTTTATCCTGTGATAACCGGAGTGCTTGTCAATAAATGTCTTACAGAAGCTTGTATGTGCATTCTCCAATCATAAACCTAACGAGGCAGTGGATGTTGAATACTGCAGTCAAATTGCTCTTGCTCTCACATCTCAATATATTCTATTGCAGTTTTTCTACCTGAAAATTTAGTAACTAGAAACTTTACCATGCAGTTACTTTGAAAAATAAACCAAGCTTTTAAGTTGATCTCTTATGTTCTTTGTTTACCAAGCAACTGTAATATTTTTAATGAGTTTGTACATCAAGGAAAATGCTGACTTTATAAGTACAATATCATGATGTATTTATTGAATAGTTTTGAAAGCCAGATTGTTTTGTTCTTGGTAAACCATCATGCTAAGAAAAAAATAAATCAGTATTTTCTCAATTGACCATACCCTATATCTGTCCTATGTCTCTTTTTTCCCTTTTATCTTTTGCTGTCTCTAACTGGATGGGGCTGATGGGATCCACAAATCACTTCAGGAGCTGGATGAGGTATCGTTTTTCACATTTTATTCTGCCATGGTGCATCAAGCGTACATTGCTGAGCTAAAATGTTCCTTTCTTCATTCTGCTAGTTTATTCAGTTTCATTATATAGGACCGAATGTCTCTGTGTACAGTAGAAGGGCAAGGGTGCTTAGAGAAGACAAGCCTTTTGTGAGATGATGTTACACTTTTTTATACATACTTGTATAAACTATTCTGACTTATTGTACGCATATGGGATATAGTGACTTTGTACAGTGAAGCTGTTAATTGTTTTTTATGCTATGCATAAATTGTACAAACTTTTTTGGTCAGGAAATAAGGTCAGGGATAAATCACAGGCTTTCAGGAAATAATTGCCCAGGAAGGAATGGGAATTGTTTTTTAAAGAGGGAGGGAGAGGGGAACCACAAAGCTTTCCAGGCCGGATAAAGGCAAATTAGAAATTTGAGAGAAACTAAGAAGTGAGATTTTTGTATGGAATCTTTCCCTGAGAACAGTGAAATAATTAGGTGTGTTTCGAGTGGTACCATCCATGATCATCTCCAGTAAAGGAAGATTATTTTATCTCTGAAATTACAAAGCCTGGTTCAGCTGGCGACAAGGTCTGCATTTGTCTTCTCATTCCGTCCATTCCCCTGCCTTCCTCGCAGAGAAGGAAGATGACTGGAAGCAGCTACGGCCCCAGTGCTGGGTGTTGCGCTGTGACCCTGCACACATCTGTATGTGTATCATGCTAGGCCTTAAAGTGGAGGATCACAGGTGTGCTTTTGTTGTAAGGGACTTCTGGAGATCTTCTGGTTCAAGCTCCTGCTCAGAACAGGGCTATTGGTAATCTATGTATAATCATCCACGACTTTGTCTAGCCAAGTCTAGGAAACCTCCAAGAACAGAGATACCACACTGTGCCTGGACAACCTCACCCAACACTGAGCCATTGTAGAAATAGGTTTCTTTGTACCTGCACTATCGGACTGAGTCTATTCACATAAGTTTCTAAACACTACCAAGAAATCTTCAATCACTACCAATCTTCTGATCTGTTTAAAGCTCAGTAGTACTAATGGTGTCCTTAACAAAGGAATTCTTGAGGGTGAACAGCACGTGTTACTGGTAATGATATCAAAGCAAATAAATAAATTTGTACCCATATATTCAAGATCAGACCATGGCTTTTGGTTTCTGCAAACTGAGCTTTAAAAAACAAACAAACAAAAACCCCCAGAACAAACAAACCAAAACCAGACAAACCAACCCCCCAACCACCCAAAAAAACCCACAACAAAAAAAACACCACCTAGCAACAAAAAAACAAAACAAATACCTCATACATTATATTCTTATTCCTTCACAGTGGTCCTATTTTAAGCTTTCTTGAGGTTGAAATTATTTGATACGCATACAAAAGTATTATTTGAAAAAGAAGATTGATAGATTTATCACAGGCATTCGGTGACTCTTAAAATTATTAATTAGTTATATGGGTTTTTTCCTGACACCTTCTGATATTTCAACCCTACAAATTGGATTGTGTTCCCAAAAATAGTCTCCAAAAAGTATATCATACCCTTCTGTAACTGCTGTACATCAGTGTGCATCAGTCTCTAATAATATAAACCCCTGATATGTTGCACCTAAGTTATTTCAATTATGACTCTTAATTATGATAAAGGGTTTCTTTCATGCCTCCACCATCTCCAGCCCTCCTGTGGATCAGTGGAAAGCTGTGTATATGCTGGCTGGCACATTGTCTTGTTTATTCTCTTGACAATCTCTTAAATTTTATAGAGAATTATCCACGCATTTTCCTGCAAGTTTCTTTGCCTCAGACGATATAGTTGAAGCAGCAAGTATGTGTCATTGTGGTATAGGGAGGTGTGGATTGATGACTGCCTTGGCTGTTTTTGTTTAGCGCCTTTTAACTTCTATCAAATAAATAATTTAACAATTATTAGATTCATGTTAATTTGCAGGAGCTGCCCCATAGGTGAGTGTGTGGCTAAATACAACTTTGTTTGAGACCAATCATGGGATAATATTTTTATTTCTTGGAGATGAAAGAAATATTTTATTTGGAGATTTTTCCAAATGAGGTTTTCAAGCTTACCTGGCCCAATATAAACCATGCTACACCATTGATTAGGGGTCCCTTGGCTGTGAGTCATTGTCCTGGACAAAGTGTACCAATGTGAGAATTGCATGTGTTCTGGCTGCAATACCATATTTTCTCCTTGAAATCTGCAAAGCATTTATTCTAAGAGGAACTTGGGTCTAATCTGAGTACAATTAATTTGCTGTCTTCTTTTCCGTAGCTTGCTGATGATCGTATGGCACTGGTATCGGGATTAAGTTTAGATCCCGAGGCAGCAATTGGAGTAACCAAACGCTTACCTCCCAAATGGGTCGATGGAGCAGATGAGGTCAGTTGTGTGGCAGATCCAACGCAGAGCTTGTTTTCTCACCTAGGGATTTATTAGTACTGTCAATTACGTTCTCGATGCTGTAAGCTTTATGATGGAAGTAGTATTAGAACAAAGATTAAAATAAGTATGTTTTCTAAATGGACACTTGTGTTTAGAGGAAAATACCAGGCAAGCTGTGACTTATTATCTTGAAGGATATATTGCAAGTGAAATAAAGGGAGAGAAAGGTCAGAAATTCCAGTAGTCTGGGTTTGCATCATCAGTGGTATTACCACTGCACTGGGACCATTAGGATAGACATGCTGTAGCTGAGCTTTTGAGACTGCAGGAAGGTCCTAAAGCTCTTAGCAAAGCAAAGTTGTTCTCAGTTGGAAACTTAGAAGGAAGGGTACAAAGAAAATTAGCACTTCCAGTAGACCTATTGTTTGAACCCATTGAGGAGTCCAGTTGAACAGACCCTAAAATGGTGGAGATGAGCAGTTTAATACTTGAAAAAAAAGTGTTAGTGTCTTCTAGCAGGAGAATTTTTCCTGCCTATGCAGTACTGATGCCTTGCAAGTTATGGAAATATGTGGACAAATGCAAGGAAATTATTCTGGAGGCATCCATTTAAAAAACTTTTCCAGTATTTGGAGTATGAAGCTATTCTTGACTTTCAGAAAAATCCTTTCAAAATGTACTCTCAGGACGCATGTTTGCTTGTCAGTTTGTGAGTACAGAACCCCTTGTGCAGAAAGGTGGTCAGTCTCCTTTTTACTGTGATGATCATCATCCTTAGAGATTTTTGGATGACTTGTTTGAAAGCATGTCATTTAACTTCTGCTGTTAAGTTCAGGCTAGTCAATGTCTGACAGAGTTGAAAGTCTCACCTGAATTTTCATTTATGTGTTTGGAAGTTGGTGAAACTTTCTTGCTATGATATTAATTATATAATGATTAAAATATTATTCCAACTTAAGCATATTTGTAAACAGCTGTCTTGCGTAAGATTAACAGAAGTAGGTTTTTAAAGTAGCGAAACTCAAAGTATATGAGTTATATGCATTTAGTTACTTCTTAGTTAGCTTTTTGTGTGTTTTGTTGTAATGATATTTTGTCTGCTTTTTATGTTATATAGATTTTTTCAATGATTTTTGTCTAGCATTTGACAGAACTTTTTCCTCTGAAACATTAGTTGCTTCCCTTTCTTCGCTGCTGTGTTTTCTGTTTTAGATTCAGTATGATATCACCAGGGTTAAACAGAAGATGAAAGAATTAGCCAGTCTTCATGACAAACATCTAAACAGACCAACACTGGATGACAGCAGTGAGGAAGAACGGGCAATAGAAATAACAACCCAGGAGATCACACAGGTACAGACTGCTTCTGATTCAATACCTAAAGCCTGACAGGTCTGTAATGGGTCATGAGGCAGTGGTTTTCCTCTGAGTAAAGCATCACTTTCGTAATCAGTAGTAGAATAAGCCAGAAGTCTTGGGCTCTGTGCTTGGTACTGCACTCACTGTCGTAGTGAGCTTCTCACTTAACCTCCCTGTTCTTTTACTTACCTGTTTGCTTTTCTGCTTGGAATAGAATTGGGAGACCTAAGCAAATCACATTTATGGATATCTTAGAGAAATACATTTTTTTTTCTATCTATTATATAGATAAAAAATATTTTATAAGACTTCCAGTTCAAGCAGTTATAATGAAGCAGATATCTTTGGTCAGAAGTAGTTGTGTTACTCAGCTACATTGTTAGCTTTAAGTTGTTTGTTCATCTGTGTTCTGTGTTTTTGTAACTTTGTAAACATAGCACTGAGCAATAAGAAATTAATTTTAAAAATCTAGAAATCAAAATATTAAACATCCATTTGGAACTTTTGCAATGTGATATTTAAGGGGTGTGTTGCTGTATGTTTTTTACTAATGGAATTGTTTTCTCAGTTATTTCACAGATGTCAGAGAGCAGTCCAGGTCTTGCAGAGCAGGTCACGTAGTTGTACAGAACAAGAAGCACGTGTTCTCAGGAATGTAGTGTCTTCCTTAGCACAGTCCCTTCAGGACCTATCCACCAACTTTAGGCATGCACAGTCTGACTATCTCAAACGTAAGCATAAGAGATACAGTAATGCGTGGGCACCTTCTGTGAAGGCACTGATTAAGGTGTGCTTATTTTATTGGTTGGGAAAATTGAAGCACAGAAAGGTTAAGTGATGCACACAGGACTACCATAAGTATATTCAAGTGGAGGTTAGAATTTGGGAGTTTCTGGTTCACAGACCATGTTTAAACTGTTTTACTCTACCTCTCTTTCATATTGCTAAAGGAGAAATTTTGTGGTTAAATTTATCAGTGAAACCAGTGCATTTAATCCATCCGCACTTTTAATGCATCATTGCTTAGAAAAGAATCATAGAACCATAATGGTTAGAAAAGACCTTTAAGATCATCAAGTCCAACTGTTATCTAACCCTGCCATGCCCACTTCTAACCATGTCCCTGAGCACCATATCTGGATGGCTTTTAAATACATCCAAGGATGGTGACTCCACCACTTCCCTGGGCAGCCTGTGCCAGTTTTGGTAATCCTTTCAGTGTAGAAGATTTCCTAATGTCTGACCTAAAATTCTCCTGAACTAAGGTACCATCATTTCCTCTTGTCCTGTCAGTTGTAACTTGTGAGAAAAGACCTACACCCACCTCTCTGCAGCCTCCTTTCAGGTAGTTGTAGAGAACAATAACATCTCCCCTCAGTCTCCTTTTGTTCAGACTAAACAACCCCAAGTCCCTCAGCTTCTCAAACTGAGGTCTGCAAAGCTACTTCTGTTATGTTGGTGAAGAAGCCATTGGTCTTCAGACGTGATACCTGCTGTAGATTGGTAGTCTGTGATAATTTAAAATTCTGCATCCATAAACAGATTGCAAGTGGAGTATCTTCTATTTAAAACTCCAAAGTTGTGTGCAATTCTATTTTCAGCTAAGTAAGATAATTTTAATATTGGAAGAAACCCACAAAAAATTGATCTTCAAATTTAATACTGATACTATATTTTTTTTCCTCCCATAGTGTAAATGGCACAGGATCAACAAAGGATGTTCCTAAGAATTTGTTAGAAAATAGCCTAGAGTGATGACATTTTAAGTCTCTTAACTTAGGGGTGTTTTTTTTTAACTTCATGGAACATAATGACTTAAAATCACTGATTTAATCAGTCTTGTAAGTCTGGTTGAATTGGTTATGCTTTGTTAAAAGACCTGTGTGACAGTTAAAATTTAGATACTGCTATTTATTTCACTTATTAGCCAGATTTTCTTTCTTGTGCTTTTTCTATCTGGTGCTTCAGACCTTACTCTTACTCTGATTTTAGTGTGTGTAAATATTTTGCTCAAACACCGTTTGTCTTTTACAGGCATGAAGAATAGAGAAGAAAGATCCAAACACTTCTTTGACACCTCAGTCCCACTGATGGATGATGGGGAGGATGATACACTTTATGATAGGGTAAGTTAAGATATTACACAAATTCAATATGAAGAAACTTTTAAATGTACCTTTAACTTTGGTATGAAAATATTAAAATGCTATGCCATGAGCACCAGTCTACAGGGGAATTCTATTTCTGCAGATTTCTGTGATGCATTTTGCAAAAGGACTATTGTGTTATGAAATTTTATACTACTTACAATTACTTATTTTGTTTTCACACTGTTAGTGTTAGCTCAACATCTAAGTCTTTTATTTCAACAGGGTTTTACAGATGACCAGCTAGCACTGGTGGAGCAAAACACACTAATGGTGGAGGAGCGGGAACGAGAAATCCGTCAGATTGTACAGTCAATCTCCGATCTCAATGAAATATTTAGGGACTTGGGAGCAATGATAGTAGAACAGGTACATCGACATCCCAGTGTTAGCAAGAAATAGAAGATTCCATGTGGTGTTAAAGCTTCCAGACTGTTCGTGTTATAACATCCTGTTTTCATGTGCTGCTCACTTTTCCAGACTTCTCCAGGCTAAGGTTTCCCCTGCTTGAAATCTGCCAGAAGATGAATTAATGAAAAAAAAAAAAATGGACTGGTTATGGGTGTTAGGCTAAAGAAAACATAGAACACCAAATTTCTGTTGGTTATTTCTCCCAGAGATTCAGTTTAGGTTAAATATATCAGCCAAGCACCTGAACTGGAAGTAAGGCAATTATTAAGGGGTGTGATGTGAGATGGTGACAGAGCTGCCAGGTAGGCATTGAGCAAGGAGGTCCTTTCTTGAAGTCCCACCTAGTTCTTCTATAAAAGTTAATAGTTAACATAGTTCATTAGCTGTTTGCCGTGAGTGTTGTTAATTGCTTCGCTGCTCATAATAATAATTGCTTTATGAAGTTCATTTTCGTTCAATTTGGTGCTTATTCTCTCCATTTTATTTAGGGAACAGTTCTAGATAGAATTGACTACAATGTTGAACAGTCATGTATGAAAACTGAAGAGGGTCTAAAACAACTTCATAAGGTAAGATGATGGAATATTTAAGCTGCTTGCCTATCTAATAATATTCTGTAATTTAATAGCTATTAAGTTGTCGTTTTTCCGATGGACATTGTCCCTTTTAGACAGGATTGCTGTACAGTGTAAAATGTGTAACTGTACTGTAGGAGGATCTTCCATGTAACTTCTGTTCATGTCGTGCTTCATGCCTAGTGTTACTTTCCTAAATATAACCTTCTGGGCATCCAGGCAATGTGCTTTGATCTTTATTTTGCTGACCAGGTGGGACCTATCTGCAATTTTTTCTCTGTTTTGAGAGCCCAGCTCTTGTGAAATGGGGCTGGATATTGGGTACTTCACTATAGATTTCAGCCAGTTGATATATCCTAGTTTGAAAACATTATCTCAATAGCGTTAGCAGCAAGAATAATTTTTAATGTTTTCTCTTACCATCTGACACTTGTTTGAAGTTAGGTCCAACCTTATGCTGTGAAGCTTTTACTATGAACATCTGAAAAGTTTACGTTGGCAGCAGAACACAGAGTTTTGTGGTTGTTTTGTTGGCTTGTTTTGTTTTGTGTTTATTTCAAGTTCTGACATGTCAGCTTAGTTCAGTCCTTCCATTGCTAGAAATAAAATAGAATGAGAGATTTAAGCGACAGCCTGTATTTAAGTAAAATGTTTTGGTTTAGAAATGTGGACATCTTTTTACTACACACTCAGCTTCATATTATGGTAGACTTCTAATATGGACAGCAAAAAAGTAGTGCCATTTGAGGAAAAGCAAAATAAATTGGTCGTAAGTTTATTCTTGTTATACATAAAAGTAAGTTGGGGATCACTAAAATAAGGCACTGGCCATTGTTGAACAAGGCTTAAAGTAACTGCAAGCAATTTGCACAAACTGAACTGGAAAGAAAGGAATTGGTTGGAATCAATGCTCTTTCTAGTCTGGTGGTAGTTAATGGGTTGCCAACAACCCTGTTTGGATTGCTGACTAGAGTACGGATTTTTGATGCAATATATACCTGTTTTCAGTACAGCATAGGAATTTTTTCACCTATCATGGAAGATATAACACAGGTCTGAATAGTAATATCAAAGACCTTGCCATTTCCAGTACTGTTGGTAACATTCTGATTTAATAGCTATAATGTCCATTTTATTTTCTAATTGGCATAATTAAAAACTACTGAGATGGCACTTTCACAGAAATTGCATTAATTCACTTCAGAAATCTGGTGATACGAATCACTTGCTACCAATTCCTGCTTCACATGAAAATTGGAAGCAGTTGTGATACTTTGTCAGGCTTTGACACTTAAAGCCTAATTAAGTAAATAATCACAGTGGTTGCATGTTAGATAGGTTCAGGTCAAAAACACCTCTTTAGCAGATCTGATAATAAATAATTACTTTCCAGGGACTATAAAGGAGACTAATTAATATCTTTTTCCCTTTAAATTTTGAAAGTTTATTAATTTAAAAATAATTAAATGCAAGCTTTGTTTTGTTTAGCTTCTATTAGCAGACTTTCATTTGGCTTTTGGAGAGTTTTCTCCATGTTGCCTCCTTTTAATTCCCTTGGGAAAAAAGAGAAAAGGGATGAGAAAATGTGGTTAGAAGAAAGGAGGAATGAAGCAGAAAACTGAGAACCAAATCAAAAAGAAAGCTTTCAGTTCTGATTGAAATTAAGTGAAAATGCAGAGCTCAATCAGGTACAACAAAAATGCCTATTAAAAATGAAGTTTTGTTGTGAATTTTAATGTTCTTCAAATATAATACAAGAATCTTAGATCGGCAAAATGAGTTAGAACATCTTACCAACTCTTTCTGTTCAGGCTTTCACATACCCGGTTGCCTGATCTTGTAGCTAAGTGTCCTTCCAAGGGACGTATCCTTCTTCTGTGTAGCTCCTGTGTCCTGGGGAGGCACAGGGCCCTCTCAGAGACTGCTGAAAAGTCCCAGTAAGGTCGCTTAACTGACATGAGGATGTATTCTTCTTGACAGTCCGCTGTTTAATACAGATAAATGTGACTTCAGTGTACACGTACCTTCACTGAAGTGGTGCAGACCAGGGTTGTTTTGTGGGAGTTGCTTGCAATATCCATTGTATGAAATGCCAAGTTACCAAAGAACAATTCTGATACACGTGTGCTTCATTTATACTAAACAAGTCTGTACTTTGTGGCTTTGCAGAAATCGAAATGTTAGCTCTTTCTTTTCTGTTTCTACAGGCAGAGCAATATCAAAAGAAGAATCGGAAGATGCTTGTTATTTTAATTTTGTTTGTTATAGTAATTGTTCTTATTGTTGTTCTTATCGGTGTAAAGTCACACTAGGGTTCACTCCGTTTTCTTGTTTTTGGAGTTTACGTGAACTGTTTTTTTCCCAATGTGAATGGATGGACCTGCACTCCAGAAAGCTGCCTTTGAATGTAATAAGCCCTTGTGGTGCAAAGTCTGTGCAATGTTTCAGTAGAATTCTTCAAAGTGCAAGTTTGGTGGTCTGTGAGGTGTTTGTAAGGATTATACGGAAAATGTCAGGAAATTCGATGCTCCCATACAAATGATTTGGTGCTCTGTGCAGAGGTATTTGGAAGCACAGTACTTGAAAATAATTTAAAAATTGATGTTTACCAGTGGGTACAGTAATTAGTGTGTTACTGTGAGCAAAAATGTATTGTCTTCTGTATTCTTATGTCACAGTTATTACAGGCTTCAAACTTAAACCACGTTACTGAGTCATGGGACTAGATAACAAAAATTGATCTCGCTGTAAAATCTGCCGAGGCACACAAACGGTTGATTTCACCTCCTTTCTTCCAGACTCAGAAATTCCAAAGAACTGGATAGACAGCTAAAAAAGAAAGCTGTTAGCAACCAGAACGTAATGCAACCCCTGTGATCTTAATTTAGATACTGCACTGTTATTAAGAATCAGAGTAGTTCTTGATCTGTAAATAACAAGATTTAATCACTGGTGTAATTTAACACATTTAGTTAATTAAAAAGTTTTCTGAGCTTGAGTAATCATGGGAATGTTTTTCATCACCAGAACGATCATATATTTTTTTATGTACTTTTTTTTTAGTTTAAAGTACAGACATTACATTAAAGCAGTGGTGAAATTAAACCTAAAAAATAGTTTCTCCTTTTAGCTTTCTACTCCATCTGACCTGCTGCAGTGGGTCTCACGTGTTTCATACTTTATTTGCATGAGCTGTTCATTTTACAGTGCATCTGTCCATAGGTGTTATATGTTTGTATAAGAAGTGACTTCACTGCAGTATACATTGCATCCATTTTCCCTGTCAGAAGATTCTTTCTTTCAGATGCCTGCCTGGATGAGGATGTATTTATGGTCGTCTTTTGACTGTGAGAGAGGTCATGCAACTGACGTGTTTCTAGGCCTTCAGTAGAGATTTTGGGGGTTTTTTCACTTTTTATTTTTTCCGGTGGAAAACTTTGGTGTAGGCCATAAAAGAGAAATTAGGGCAATGTCTGACTAATATAATACTTGTGATTTGTTTCAGGCCTGAAGTGGTGTGCAATTGTAGAGGCCTTGCCTTAATATTTTTAATATGGCTTTTCTGTGTGGATATTTTTTCCCAAAGGGACTGTAGCTTATTTCCTTCATTTTCTGACTTGCAGAGATGCTCTGCCCAAAGCTCCTGAAGTGCAGTTTCATACTACTATGATATTCATGTTGCATATGTTGCCTGCCCTGAGTTTTTCTATACTATGTACTGAGGAGGACTTGAGATTTGGCTTTAAACTGACTTGGTGCAGGAACAGACCTGAAAGCAAAGACTACAAAGATGTGAAAGCCTTGGCTTTTTGTGTGACTTACTGTGCAAAGCTTTGTACCACGCTTGTTACCTCTACACAAAGGGGATGTTGAACTTCCAAACCTGCCAGTTCAAACCTGTGATTAAATTAATAAAGTAAATTGGTAAAAGAAAGAATTATGCTTGTAGTTGGGTGTGCAGCTCCCCTGTTCTGGTAACAGATCTTTTCAATGATCGTGAGTAAAACTACTGTTTCCCTAGTGTGCTGTCTACATCAGGTGGTGTGAAGCAGCATATTGCTATAATTTAATATACTGTATTTGCAACTCTCTCTCTAACATGAGATCGTGTTATTTATTTCCGTCTTGACTGGTGCTTTGGATATTTTATCATGGCTAATGAATTCAAAGAAGTCATAAAACACTTCCAACCCAATTGGTCAGTTACTCATTTTTTAAAAAAATATAAACTGAAATATATTGTGTGATGTTAAGGCATCTCCTCCTGTTCTTTGTAATAAAATGAAAGGAGCAGTGACATTAAATATCTTTGAAAAAAACCCTGTAACTTTCTGTAGGTCAGTGTAACTTGCATTGTCAAGAGTGGTTTCCCCTCTGAGTTAGCATTGAAATGCCCACAATATCTTAACTCCACTGAAGTAACTGGCTATGTATTTTACAGATTTTGGCTAGAAAATGAAATGCACTTTTAATATGTGTCGGACAAGAGGTTAAACGTAGATGTCAAGTGTCCTGTGTTACTTGAGTTGGAATTTATTGAAGCTGGTTATATCCAGGGGGAAAAAAATAATTCAAACCCATCAAAACAACCTCTAGGCTTCTAAATCATTTCAGGTGTCTAGCTTGCTACTATTCAGTCTAAATAGTTACCGGCAGCTCAGTCAAACCTTTATGCAGTGCTTTGTAAAAATCTCTACGTGGTGTGTTACAGAGCGGGTGCCATCCGCGCTATTGGGCAGTGGGAGCCCAAAGAGCCCGTGCAGCTGAGGAGCAGCTCGGCTTTGCTGGTGGCTGCTGCCTGCTCTGGGGTGCAGGAGTGAGAGCTGCCTGGACCAACCAACTGCACTTCTGCCCAGCCCTGCCACCACCGCTGTGCGCTGCCACGGCAGAAGCTGGTACCCTCCCATTGCAGCCTCTGCATTGCTGCTGGAGTCTTCTCTGCTTGCACTGGACTTCTGCTTCCTTACAAAGTGCCAAGGGAAACGGCGTGACTGGAGCAGAATGGCGTTGCTAGAGCGTCTCCCAAGAATCTGTGGCTTCTCGTGTGATGGGAACAACCTCTAAAGCTGTTGGCTTGTACAGTTTCTCCCTGCAAAAATGAGCTGCTACTCCTTGTTAACAAGTTAATTCCAGTGATACATGGAAATGACAGTATTTAAAAGCACTGTAAGAGCAAAGCTGCCTGTGCTGCAAACCTCTAGAAACTGAAAAGTAAAATGGAAAAATTGGTTTCTTGCTTGGTGATTTTTGAAATGTTCTAAAAACTTGAATTACTATAGCTGATGCAATGTTTACTGAGGCTGCCTTCATTGTATCAGTTCAGGATTTGCTCTTATGAAACACTTATCACAACACAAGAGTCCTGTCCTTTGCTTAAATCCTTGAAAGCCTTGCTTTTGATACAGCCTTGCAAAATTTAAGATCTTGGATAGGTGACAGTGAAACAGATTTTGTTGGAAAAAACTGTACATTTACTATCTCAAAAAAATCAAAGCAAACCACAAACTCAACAGCCTTTCCAGATAAATTAAAATTCATTACAGTCCATTATGTTTTTACATATTAATTGTGATGGATTGAGTGGCTTAATTCCATAAATGTAGAGGATCAATAACTGGAGTGGCCATGGAAGACTGGTCCATGCTGCAGCTCCCTCTGTGGCTTCACGGGAGTAGCAGTGGGACAGGTAGGAAGTTTCTGTCCTGTCGATAGACCTGATTTTTCTCAGGCTGTCACCTTGACAAGACCCTCCTCTCCCATCCTTACCTGTAGTGAGGGAAGGATCAAGGGTTTGGTGATCGACGTCTGCTTGCTTTACCTTTCAGATTATGTGAATCTGGGGACAGCACTGCACTGATATCCTTGCAGCAGCAGGAACTGCAGAATTCATAGTCAGTGACGGGGTAGAATCTGTGGAATGTCTCAATGCTGAAATAATTGCCATGTGTTACTGTCTTTTGTATCTCTGATGCTGACCATATGTATTGGAATAATAGTGAACCCCTGAACAGTTTATGTTTTGTGGCTTAGTAAAGAAACGCATAGAAGTTGGAGTTGGAGGTTGGTTATTGAGTTACCCTGTCCAGCCTGTGAGGATGCATGACTGACCTCTGCAGCAGATTTTCCTAGATCTTTTATTCAGAGTAATTTTAAACGTATCAGGCAATAAAGTTTCCATAATGGCCCTTTAAAGACCAAATAAGACCTTACTCTAAGGAAGTTTTTTTTCTGCAATTCAACCTTTTTTTTTTTTCTTTAAATGCATCAGCATTTGCTTTTCCAGTATAAGTGGAAGTGCACTCCTTTTCTGGTGTTTAGATTTTCCTAGCTGCAGATTAATGAGTATCGATTCCCTACTGGCCTAACATTAATAGGAGGTACTTAGCAAATATAAAAACATGAGGATAGAAACCTTATTATAAATCAAGTAGCCTATTAAAACAAACATTTAAAGTCACTATTAAAGCTGGCATTTGGAAAACATTTTCCTTCTAGTGAATCCCCATACCTTAGAGCCTATTTTGACTTTTTCCTCTTTCTGGAATATTTTTTAGACGTATGTTTTATCCGGTATTTAAGTTCACGAATAAAACAGGAATTCAGCTTTTTTCCATTTCAGTCCCTATGTAACTTCACACTTTCAACATGACACATTTACATCCTAAAATAGCATTACAAAGGGGAAATACTGACTTGCAGCTTGATACAATTGCATGTCAGTTGTACACAGAGGTAGCTGCATTAGCCCCAACACCTTTCAGTCTCTGAACACGCTCTGTATGATTTGATGCACACAGGAGATCTCACACCGCATAGCAGCGTTACAGCGGTTTTTTTTTTCCATTTTCTCCCATAACCTATGAAACTCTGAAACCCCCGCTCTACCTGTGTGTGTGCTGCAACCCGTGTCACGCACGAAGCCTCGGCACAAGGCTTTTCTCTGGCCTAGAGCTGCCAAGCGAAGGAGCACATCGCCGTTC